CATTCTGGCCATTTGGGGAATGAACCAGTAGATGGAAAACTTCTCTCTCCTCTCTGCAAAATCTGCTTCAAACTTTAAATAAATAAATATTTTTTAAAGCAAAAGTATAGCATCCTTCTCGGCGTTTTGGCTAAGATCAAGTGTAAAAAAAAGTATACCAGCCTCGGCTTCAATTGGTATGATATGGGGTGAGAGTTACAGGTGGTGACTTAATATGCTGTGCCATGACATCAGCTCCTAACTCAAAAAATTAAGTGAAGGGAACAGTAGGGCTATGTGCTTTGACTGTCATTCCTTGTCAGTTGTTTTTGCACTTGGAAGAATGTTAATTTCTGGGTACATGTGAATTTCAGAAAGTGTGGCATTTTTGTTTTCCTTTTTTACAGAATGTTGAGTGCTGAATAAATAATTTTTTTTTTACCTCAATTTGTGATTAGACAGACACATTGCTTGTGTCTTAGCTTCTCCATGGCCTAAAATGGAAGCCTCTTCCTTACCTCTTTGTCTTGATTCCCCTTGGTGGCAGTTGGTGTATGCTGTAGATTAGGCTTGAATAATACATTCTTGCTATTTTTTTTTAAATTTCTGATACAAGGTATATAATTTGCACTTATGAAAGGCACTGAAATGTAGTAGCCCACTTCCTGGTACTTTAAGATTAAAATGCAGGGTGACAGTTGCAAGGTTTAGGAGCCATGTGATTCATGAAGGCAGCTAGCTTTTCATTGATAATACCCAGGTGAGATGCCTGTTTTGAGAAAAGGTTTATTAGCATTGTGACTTGAGATTTACTCATAAGCTTTTTTTTTTTTCCAACTCTGTGGTTTTCTGACCACATGGCCAGTGGTTTGTTTCCTGTGTATCTTATTTTCATTGATAGAGAAACTAACTTGCAGAACTCTCAGATGTTAATCACTGATGAAAAGAAAAGGAGGTAGGACTATTAAAGGCCAAACATTTTGCACCCTTCACTCACTTACTTCTCATAAAAACAGCGTGAGTTATAGTAGGTAGTTAATGCCCGCGTTACAATAGAGAATACTGAAGCTCAAAAATGCTGTGACTTGTACTTTCAAGAATAACCTTAATGTACTATTTTTTTTTCTGTAAAATACACTTGATTGATTCTCCCCCATCATGGTTGAATCTTATGAGCCAACTGGAATTCTTTACATTATTAAACATAGCTCTAAGATCATTCTGTATAGTACTGTGCAGTAATATAAACAACATTTCCCAAACATTGAATTAAAAAGGGTCATTCTTTATAATGCAAATTGTTAAGGACTACCCTTGCTCCTAGTTTACCACTGGCTATAGTTTCAGTAAAATCTTTCCATTTCTTTTGTTGTTTGTGAGTCTGCTATTTCAGTACTGATTGATATACCTTCACATTACCCTGCATTTATTATTTTTTAAATTATTTATTTTTATTAGAAATTAAGATTTACCGAGAGAAGAAAAGACAGAGAGAAAGGTCGTCCATCTGCAGATTCACTCCCCAAGTGGCTGCAGTTGCTGCAGCTGAGCTGATCCAAAGACGGGAGTCAGGCACTTGTTACACGTCTGTCACTTGGGTACAGGGTCCCAAGGCCTAGGGCAGTCCTTGACTGCTTTTCCCAGGCCACAAGCAGGGAGCTGGATGGGAAGTGGAGCAATTGGGACACAAATTGGCACCCAGATGGGATCCCAGCATATGCAAGGCGAGGTTTAGCCACTGGACTACTGCACCAGGCCCATAACCCGGCATATATTTAGGCAGTCCTTAAATAGCCTTTTAAAGGCAAAGCCCACATTGTAGACCTATTTTAATCTTTATGTGGTTAAATTGACAACTTATGATTTGATTATTGTTTATAGCCCTTACTTGGGTTCTTGCTGAAGAGTAGTCTTTCTACTTTTAACTTATTAAACCCTTTATTTAGTAAAGCACATTATATCTATGACTATAGAGGTATCAGAAAAGTAAAGGGCCCAGCACTATACTGTAGCTGTTAAAGTCCTCGCCTTCAACAAACTGGGATCCAATATGAGCGCCGGTTCTAAACCCAGCAGCCCCACTTCCCATCCAGCTCCCTGCCTGTGTCCTGGGAAAGCAGTCGAGGACGACCCAAAGCTTTGGGACCCTGCACCCATGTGGGATACCCGGAAGAGGCTCCTGCCTTCAGATTGGCGCAGCTCCAGCCATTGCGGCTGCTTGGGGAGTGAACCATCGGATGGAAGATCTTCCTCTCTGTTTCTTTTCCTCCCTGTATATCTGCCTTTTTAATAAAAATAAATAAATCTTTAAAAAAAAAAAGGTATCACAAAAGTTAAGAAGAGAAGATAGGCAGGCAGGAGGGAAGGAAATATCACCGAACGAATATACACATGAGTACATAAATAAATACATAACTCTTACAATTGTCTTACTACTAGTTGCCCTAGAAAGTACTTCAGAGTAAGACACACTTTTGAAAATTGAATAGTTGTATATTTTTAGAATTTAAAAGTTATACACATTTAAAAAAAAGGTATATAACTTGGACTTGTAATTATTCTGAATGCTTTGTACAAAGAAACTTCAAAAAGTGGGAAATGGAAAAGACTGTTAAAAAAATGAAAACCATGCTTTTTTATTTTTCAATTTTTGATAATGTTTTCATAGTTTATGAGGGTGGGAATAGTCTAGGATTAGGGGAAAGTGAATGAGACAGTTGTTTCCAAATTTTTTTCTTTCTTTATGGGGAGGAGTAATGGGAGATAAGGGGAGAAGCTGCACCCAGTCACCAGCTTAGCCAGTCCCACCCCCAGCCCTGGTTCTCATGCTCACCAGTTGGAATTGCAGCGCATTGGAGAAGTGTCCACCATTTCCCTACTGGGCCCTTTCCTGTCTTGCTCTCTTCAGGCTAGCTCGACAGGCTTTGCCCTCAGTCCCAGCACTTGCCAGCTGATGTTACAGCAAAGCCCAACTAGCCTGCAGTTACTCTAGCCTATGCGTGTACCAGTGCATACAGCTGGTTAGCACATCCTGGATCTGCCCCTAATGCCGCTTACATGCAGGACATCAGGTGTTGTAGCCCTGCCTGGCCTGGTCTACCCGCATCCCCATTCTTATGCTCTCCAGTAGGAGCAGTGGACCTGCAGGGGAGCCCCTCACAGCAAACCTACAACCGTGCAACCCCTCTCCCCCCACCTATTTAGGTCTCACATGTGCTGGCTTGTAGTCCAGTCTGGCATGGCTTGCATCACCTCCATAGTTGCCAGCAGGTACAATAGTCTGGCCTTGTCCAATCTATCCCCAGTTTCCAGCTCATGATGATGGGTGCTGCATCCTAGCCCAGCCCACCTAGCCCCCAGTCCTAGCCCTAATGTGAACTGACTGTTGTGTTGTGGCCTGACCCAACCTGCCCTGCACCTCATTGTGGTTCTCAGATCTACCAGTGGGTGTTGTGAACTAGCCCAGCCTGTTCCACCCCCAGACCTGACCCACACTGGGCTGCTCCCAAAAACCATGCTTTTTATATACATTTTCCAAGACCTTTGTTGTTGGTTTTTAAATTTATTTTATTGTTATTGGAAATTCAGATATACAGAGAGGAGGAGAGATAGAGAGGAAGATCTTCTGTCCGCTGATTCACTCCCCAAATGGCTGCAGCAGCAAGAGCTCTGCCAATCCAAAGCCAGGACCTGGAGCCTCTTCCAATGTGGGTGCAGGGTCCCATGTGGGTCGGTCTCCCATGCTGGTTCAGGGTCCCAAGGCTTTGGGCTGTCCACGACTTCTTTCCTAGGCCACAAGCAGGGAACTGGATGGGAAGTGGGGCCGTCAGGATTAAAACCATGCCCATATGGGATTCTGGTGCTTACAAGGTGAGAACTTTAGTCACTAGGCTATTGTGCTGGGCCCCATCTAAGAACTTTTTAAAGGAAACATCTTTTTTTTTTTTAAGATTTATTTATTTTTATTGGAAAGTCAGATATACAGAGAGGAGGAGAGACAGAGAGGAAGATCTTCCGTCCGATGATTCACTCCGCAAGTGAGTGCAACGGCTAGTGCTGCACTGATCCGAAGCCAGGAACCAGGAACCTCTTCCAGGTTTCCCACGTGGGTGCAGGGTCTCAAAGATTTAGGCCATCCTCGGCTGCTTTCCCAGGTACAGGCAGGGAGCTGGATGGAAAGTAGAGCGGCCGGAATTAGAACTGGCGCCCATATGGGATCCCGGCATGTTCAAGTCGAGGACTTTAACAGCTGCTAGGCCATGCTGCCAGGCCCAGGAAACATCTTCTAAGCCTCACAGTTTACCAAGTATTTAGCTGTTGCCTTGTAAAAATGTTTGTAGTCACAAATGTCAGTATTTATGTGTATCTGTGAAATAGAGATAAATGTTGAAGTAAGAATAGGTGAAAAGTTAAATGTCATGCCCTTACAAGGGGAGAAATTGCAAGGATTGTAAGCAATTGCAGCCAGTCTGTGATGATTTCCTACTCCTTTTGCAATTTTACAGGATAAAAAAATCTATGTATGAAATAAAAAGTTTTATTCCTTGCAGAGGTGTTAAATAGACACACAGAAAAGTATAAAAAAGGAATATTACATTCTACTTATTTATATTTATATTTATATTTATATTTATATTTATATTTATATTTATATGGAAGGGAAAGACGGGGAGCAGAGATGTCCCATCCACTGGTTCACTCCTCAGATGTCTGAAAGCCCTGGGCCTGGACCAAGCTGAAGCCAGAGCTTACTCTTACAACACAGAACTTACTCTGAATCTCCCAGTGAGTGGGTGGGGTCCGAGCACTTGAGCCATCGCCTCTGCCTCGTGGGCTGTGCACTAGTGGGAAGCTGTCATCGGAAAAGAGCTGAGAGTCAGAGACAGATGCAGGCATCCCAGTGGCATCTCAGCCCTGTGCCACTCACTCCTAGAGAGCGGGGATATTTAAATGTTCTATTAGTAAGGAAGGTAATATAATGTGATCCAAAAAACTAATTATTTGTTTGTTTGTTTGCTTAGGATGGATTGGATGCTTTGGTGTATGATTTGGATTTTCCTGCTTTAAGAAAAAACAAAAATATTGACAACTTTCTAAGCAGATGTAAGTAATTTTTGTGAAAATTAATGATAGTTTGCAAATAACTACATCTTAGATCATTGAAGTCCTTTTTAACCTTCTGTCTAGTTTCTGGTCTTCATTTATAATTGTAAAACAGTAGGAATATGAAAAAAAATTATTAACTAGCTTGGGTCTCCATAGGGACTCCAGATATTTTACAGAGAAGTGGATGAAAAATAAATGGTTAAAAAAAGTATGTTAAAAATTTTGCCTATGTCATATACATGCACATTGAGTTTAATAACATGCTGCATTTGCCCTAGTTTTTTTTTTTGTACCTTTTTTGATTTCACTGTTATTTAAGTTGTGCTGTGATTGTATAATGGTTAACTGTGTCTAAAAACACACAGGAAGAAATACATGCCATCTGAGAAGAAGGCATTACATTGCTGCAAAGAAGAGAATTGTTCTCCATGAAAGCTGTTTTATATTTAAATTTTACAGCAGTTCACTTCTGAAACTGCTGTTTTAGATTTATGTTATTTTAAGTAACAATAATTTATTATTATTTATAATTTATGAAATATTTTCAGACTTTTAATCTTAATTTATAATACAGTTTAGTTTATAAAACTTTCCTTAATTCATCTCGTAATTTCTGTTTCTAAACCATACCTACTAATATGTTCTGGTTGGTTTTGGCTTTGGTGTTTCAATTTTGGCTACATATGTTTTACTGATAAATGTTTAGTTTTCCAGTCATATTGTTTTGTCACGATTTCTTATATCATTTTTACAGTTTGAAATCTTTCTGTAGAATATTTACTTCTCAGTACTATCTTCTTTCAGTTCTTTTTTCTTTAAGACACTTTTTAGTCTTACTGATTCCTCTTCCTACTGAAAAAGCAGAATTTTATTAGTGTTTGCGTTTGCTCAACATTCCTCCTTGATAATGTAAAGAATGGATATTTTTCTTTTGATGATAGAGTACGTAAATGTTCATTATTACGAAGGCAGAGGATGAGGTGTGATCTTGTAAAATAGAGTAGCAGGAATCCTAACCCATGTTTGTAAGGTTTTTTGTTTAGCTATGCTACTTCATTACTTTCATAATATTAAATATGCCTATTGATTACATTTTATAAATAGAAACCTTACTGGCTGGCTAGAAAAAAGATTAAATGAAGGCAAGTTAATAAAATTTAGAGAAAGTTAAATGCAAGTAAGTTCAAATTAAACAATCTTTAACTGGTAAGCTTGTTAAGTCTCATTTGGAGAAAAATGCAGAGAATAAAATGTGAAGCTTTTTTTAAGAAAAGGATGACTTTTTTCACTTTGGATATACAGTACCAGAATTAAGGAAAGCATCACAGGGTTCTGAAATATTGCTAGCTTATGATTTGTCACGACAGGATCAGTGCACTTCCTACAAAGCAGCCAGCAGCAGTTCAGATTTGGTCTTTGTTTTTGTGGCTCATCCTAAGCTTTTACTGTAAAATGCCCAGTAGCATTTGAATAATGTATCCCAGTAGACATGAACTGATTTTCAATATTTCATCTTTGGAACAATTTATGCTTATTTACATGTTAAGAACAGGTGTTTCTTTCTACTTAACCTACGGTGAATGTTCATGACTGAGTTTTAGCTTACAGAGGGTTTCCCTAGCTATTACTTTAGAGTTTCTAAAAGCAACAACTCTTAATTAATGTTTATAAAAGATAATGTTGAAAAGAGCTGATACTAAAATAAAGACACTTTTAGAAGTATTTAAGGACAAACACAACAATGAAGTATTACAGCAGTGATTCGCTGAATTGTCTTAAAATAGTGGTAATTCTACTACCTTACATAGAGTTCTAATCTCTAAACCTCATAATTACAATTTGAATGCACAATCTTACCGTGAGAACTATGCACAGCTTCTGAAGTATGTTGTGCAGGTTTGCTTTTGCATGTAAATTAAAGTTGAAGTTGGTCCTTTAATTGAGTAACTATCTGGAAGCATTGGATTTTAGTCACACTGTTGATGGCCAACAAAAACTTGACCGAGTGAAAAGCATCAATAGTACCATGTTTGGCAAAGCACCTGCTGCCCCCATGCTAACAGTTCAAAGCCCTCGTTTTAAGGATCGTCACAGTGTGGAAAGTCCCCTGGACTGGGCTGCACCCTCTTGTCCGTTTTGGTCTCTGCATACCTCTGAAAATGTAAAGTGTTCAGACAGGCAGTGTAACAGTGGGTAGCAATCAGTGCAATTTATCATTTTAACTTATTAAAGAAAAACTGTATCTCAGTAGCTGGAAAACATGCTGCAAATTGAAGGAAACTTCCTTGACCAGATAAAGGGAATCTAAGAAACCTATACTTCAGACTGTATATGTATGTGTGTGTGTGTGTGTGTAGATATATATATATATATATATATATATTTTTTTTTTTTTTTTTTTTTAAAGTCAGATATACAGAGAGGAGGGGAGACAGAGAAGGTCTTCTATCTGTGGAGTCATTCCCCAAGTGGCCGCAATGACTAGAGCTGTGATCTGAAGCCAGGACCCAGGAGCATCTTCTAGGTCTCCCACACACATGCAGGGTCCCAAGGCTTTGGACCATCCTCTACTGCTTTCCCAGGCCACAAGCCGGGAGAAGGATGGGAAGTGAGGCCACTGGGACACAAGCTGGTGCCCAATGGGATCCTGGCACATGCAAGGCAAGGGCTTTAGCCACTAGACAACTGTGTTGGGCCCTCAGGCTGTATTTAATAGTGCAAGACTGAATACTAGATTAGAAAAGGGGAGTGTTTTTTCTCTCAATACCTTCATAGCCAACATTTTTTCTGAAACTTCTGGGCAGGTCATAAAGATTAAGATTATATACCTTGAAAAGGAAAAATTTAACTTTAAAGCATGACTTTCTTGTAGAAAGCCTCAAAATTCTACAAATGTTGTGTAAGAACTAATAAATGAACTAGATGGAGATTAGAAAGTTAATAAACAGAAGCAGAAGCAATTGTATTTCTGTTTATTAGCAACAAGCCATTAGGTTGAAATTGTTTTTTAAAAAAAAAGCGATGCTATTTACAGTAGAAATAAAAAAATATGTAGGTAAATCTGACAAAACATATGAGACCTGTCTGCTGAAAAGTTTTATGGACATGCAAAGGACTTAGAGCAACCAAAATAATTTTGTAAAGAGCGAAAGTGGAGGATTAAGATTGAGATCAAAATAGTAATCTTTGACAATAAGCATATAGATCAATGGAAAAGAAATTATTTCGGAAAGAAACCTATATGGTCAATCGATTTCCAGTCAAGGGTAACAAGTTAGTTCAATATTCAAACCTTACTTTTTGAACCATATATAAAGTCACATCAAAAGGGATTATAGACCTAAATGTAATTAGTGAACTTAATTCTAAAAAGAAAAAGCTTGTTCTTGCGCATAAGATAACTGCTTAGGTTAAAGATAAGTCGTAGCTGGGAGAAAATAGTTACAAAGCATGTGAAAAAGAAAATTGTCCTCTGCAAGTGATGTTTGTTAAGGAAAACAACATGTAAGGCTATTATGAAATCAACATAGAATAAAACACGAATGAAACAGGGTAGAAAACATGTTATAAATAAATTTGAATTTTTTTTGCGATATTATAGCATTCTCTATCAACTCCTAATGTATTTACACAATGTTTCTTACATAATTGTTTTTGTGGGACAGTATTTTACATATTGCTGAAAAATTATTTTGTTGCTTTTCATTAATTTCATTAATGAAATATTTGTTAGATATCTTGAATTGGTATTTGTTGACAGATAGCAGGTATAGTACTTTGAGGACCCGGCACTATGGTTCAGTTGCTAAATCCTCGTTTTTCACACCCAGGATCCCATGTGGGCACTGGTTCATGTCCCAGCTGCTCCTGTTTCCATCCAGCTCCCTGCTTGTGGCCTGGGAAAGCAGTAGAGGACGGCCCAAAGCCTTGGGACCCTGCACGTGTGTGGGAGACCTGGAGGAAGCTCCTGGGTCCTGGCTTCAGAACAGCTCTGCTCTGGCAGTTTCAGCCACGTGGGCAGTGAACCCAGGACTTGCAAGGAAGTAGCTACAGAAGATGAGACAAATCTATACTCTTTAGCAACTCTTAACAAGGGTCAGACATCTCTTAGTGGGGAATGGAATGGTCCCAGCAGGTAGCCAGGTTAGAGTCACAAATGGGAAGCCATATGTCCTCTGCCCTGTATAAGTCTTGCCTATTTGTCCATCAAATGACCCCTTCCCCAAGGTGTATTCCTCTCTTCACCTGGGACTTGGCGGTGGTATCATGTAACCACTCCCCTTTCCAGGATCAAGAGAATCCAAGCAACAGGGAAAGGCACTCTTCCCCCATGGATGCAAGAGGAAAGTGGAAACATCTCTCTACCACCTTTACCTCCCTGCCCAATCTATCCCTGAACGTGCATCTGTGATTTCCTTAACTTTTAAATAAACTGTACTTAAAATATGTATTGAGTTTATTTAAAAAGTCAATATATTAGGATTTATTAAAATTGAAAACTTTTGCCATATGAAAGACTATTAAAAGAACAAAAATTAATAGTAGCAAATGCTGGTGAGGCATTTGGTGGGGCAGAACAGGAATTCTCACCCATTGCTGGTGAGAAAGCAAAATATTATAGGTACTTCAGAAGAAAATTCATCAGTTTCTTATTAAAACTCACTTCCAGGTAATCCAAGTAATCTGACAACCATGCTCATTCAAAAACAAAACAAAACAAAACAAAACAAAAAAACCCTGTAAAAAAGCACCAATTCAAATTCAGACCGAACAAGTGCAAATGATAAATGCATATTTTCAAAGCAAAAAAAGTTTTAAAAGGTTACATTCTGAGGGCAGGCATAGTGGTGCAACAGTTAAGACACTTTCAGTGTGTCTGCTCCCATACTGGAGTGCCCGAGTTCAAACCAGCTACCTGCTGATGTTCCTTATACAAAAATTGCAGATGAATGCTCAAAAATTTTGGACCCTATCACACATATGGGAGACCTGGATGG